CTGGTGAAACTCAATGTGGCTCCACTGATTTGAAAGAATTGTGAGGATCTAGCCCTCTCTCCAGGATCTAATCTACATTCTTCACAGATACTATACGGATCCATATATATATATATATACACACACACACACACACACAACAAATCATGGGCTCGATTTTGATGTCAGTGAGACTATTCACAACTTAAAGTTAAGCGTGTCATTGAAACAGGGCCAAGGTACTTAGGAGAATCTAATCCTACTTGAATTTGTAACTACAAAAAACAATTACTTTTTAAAACATTCAGCGCAAAGCCACCAGACCCCCATTGTCTTGCAAACTGTCCCAGGGCCTCCAAAAATAAAGAAGACACTAAGTTGGAGCTACAAGCCAGCGAATTTATCAATACAAAACCAATATGAATATCAGCAAATACACCAACACCTAAAAAGGTTTTAAAAACACAGCACAATACTAACAGACTTTTTTTCTCTACTAGAAATCACAGTCTTAGCAGCAGTAATGGATTTTCTACAAAGCTCCTAAACAAGCTCAGAAGCAAGAATTGGCCTCAGTCTAAGAATGAGCAAATTAATTAATCAGACTCACTAGTGTTGTTAGCATTCACTTCTTAAATCCTGCCTACTGTATAATACAATCAGTCAATCAAGTGTTATTGCATACACAACTTGGCTTCACAGACATATATAATCAAGTGACAGTAATAGAGAGATTAATGAGTCAAAACAGATGCAAAATCTCCCCATTAAACACAGCAGAAATAATCCCCCAAAACTCTATTTATGTCAATATCTAATTAAGTTTGCATAATATGCAAACTGAAAACTCTCTCAACAGGGAATGTCAGTACAATCTGATGCCAGCAACCAAATTTTCTGCTCTTTTGGAAACAAATTAACGGTCTAAGGAAAGATTTGTTCTCTAAAAACTGTCTCTCAAATATAAGTAAGACCTGTTTGTTGAATCCTGTAACAGCTAGGGGTTTCCACTCTATGTTCACTGCATGAACATATTCTTTCATTCACGTGGATGCCCTTTAATCTGCCAATTAAAACTGCAGACTTCATTGCTTCAAATCTCAGTGAAATGCAGGGTTTTCGGCATTTGACTTTTTTAACCAATTTACTAAAATAAATACAAAATATTTTCTTTGGTTCAAAAAAGAGGAAATAAAGTGACAGGGGGCAAATCAAGATACTCTGGGCCCTTAGTTACACCCCAGCCCCTTTATGCCACTCTGTTGGTATAAAAATAATCTTAAAGAGGGCAAAAAGAGCATCCCCCCCCACACACACACACTAAAGATACACCAAGTGCAGAAGGCATCCCTGGCCAGCATAAAGCTAATAATCATTTTTCCTAGCATAGGGGCAGGTTGAGGATGTGGCCAGAACACACTGCATTGGCTAGCCAGTGATTTCTACAGATCTTAGAAATCAGAGTAAATTAGGGTCTGGCTACACTGAAGGTAAAAACCTCACAGCTGGCCTGTGTCAGCTGACTAGGGACTGTTTAATTCTGGTGTAAATGTTCAGGCTGCAGCCTGAGCTCTTGGACTTTCCCACCTTGCAGGGTCCTAGAGTCAGAGGTGGAAGTAAGCCGGTATGGTCCGGTTCGGCGTACCAGCGACAGCCATTACGTCGTGCCAGACCAGACCGGCTTCTGCTGCAGTGATTTAAAGGGCCCAGGGCTCCAGCCACTGCGGGAAGCCCCGGGCCCTTTAAAGCGCCGCCGGAGCCCCAGGCCCTTTAATTTGCCACTGAGCCACAGGGCTCCCAGCCGCCTCTGCAGCTGGTAGCTCCAGGGTGATTTAAAGGCCCTGGGGCTCCCAGCCACAGCCGGAGCCCCAGAGCCTTTAAATCTTGAAAGGCCCCGCCTCTTCCCGTTGAGGCCACGCCCCCGCTCAGGACTCCAGCATACCGGTAAGTCCTTTAAGTTACTTTCACCCCTGCCTAGAGCCCAGGCTCCAGCCTCAGCCCAAATGTTTACAATGCAGTTAAACAGCTTCTTAGCCCGCGTCAGCCAGCACGGGCAAGACACAGGTTTTTAATTGCAGTGTAGATGTACACTTAGAGTCCCTGAGACTGCTCTAACTACCTCAGGGGGCCCATGAAGGGGGCTTAAAGCCACATTTACCCTCTCTGTGTCTGCCCCAAACACAGGAATGAAGAAACTGGAAATCAAGACCCTGAATCTAGCCTCATCTTCCTGTCTATTATCTTTGGTTCATAGTTTGGCATAAACAGAAAGTGATAAAAAAATTCTTCCCTCATGTGCCCAAGAGCAAGCTGAGGTAGTGAATGCTTTATGAGTTTTATCTATTATCATTTTTACTAGTCAGAACTGTTTCTGATAACAAAGCAATATTAATAATCTTTGAGGCCTTTTTCATTAAGATATCAGCTAACATTGATATAATTAGGATTTGTTTCCCATCTGAGTAACATTCCCGTTACAGAAGGAGTTAGGCCCAGGATTTTAGCCAGAAAACTATTTTGAACAGAATCTAAGACTAAGCAGTCCCTCATAGCCCATAACTCAAACTTATATGACAGCCCTGAAGGCACCTTGACTTGCAAAACATTATCCCATAGTACAACTATACACGTCCACATAGTTCTCATGGTCTTGAATACTATGTATGAAGTATAACTCAGACTACCGGCTGTACAGAACTCTCCTGGGAAGAAAGGATTCTGCTGCTGTGCATGCTTCATTTAAATTACTCTTATTAGTGTTTGCAGCTGTACAGTTTAGCAGCAATCAGGACTAGAAAAGAACACAGGATGAGATAAGAGGCTGTCGTAATCTTAAATTATATCTATAAGTAATAAGGAAGGAAGAGTAAAGTTACTTATGTATTAAGTACTTAACATGAAGAGAAAACGTATAGATATTGCCCTCTCTATTTAATTAAGAGAAACTACAGACCAAATAGTCTATTGTCACCTGAAATGAAATAAAAGTTTTGTAAAACAATGGAGGGAGAGAGAGTGTGTTCAGTACAGAGCCGGCTCCAGACACCAGCTTACCAAGCAGGTGCTTGGGGTGGCCACACCGGAGAGGGACGGCAAATCCGGCTCTTCGGTGGCAATTCGGCAGTGGGTCCCTCACTCCCGCTCGTAGCGAAAGACCTCCCACCGAAGTGCCACAGATCGCGATCGCGGTCTTTTTTTTTTTTTTTTTGCGGGGGGCGGGGCTGCTTGGGGCGGCAAAAACCTTGGAGCCGGCCCTGGTTCAGTATTTACCAACTACCACTCAACACCGAGAAAACATTTGTCAAAAAATAGTTACTGGAACATGGACAGTGAACCTCATTACCCCTCACACGGAAGGGGCATGTCAGACTGGTCAGCCACATCCTTAAATCAAATTTGCATCTACTCTATGGGATGCAAAAGCATGGCTATTCCCTGTATTCATTGAGCACTCCCAAAAAAACAGCCCCCTCCTTAGCCCCAAACTTCTCTGCGATCACATTCCTCCACCCTTCTCCGAGATTTTGCTGCCTTACAATCATCTCAAGTTCTCCTACCTTCAGAGATTTGTTCTGGTGTCCAAAAGGTGGAGTAGTGTATTAACTAACCCTTTAAACGCTTTCTATATTCAAAATCAGCTCTGGTGCTTTTCCCAGTTAGGCATCTCACAGAATGCATTGTGCCCAGGAAACCAACACACTGGCATGCATCAGCAACAAGTAGCAGAAAATTAGTGGTGTTCTTCCAACTGGAAAAATGTGAGGCTCAAGCCTAACAAGCCAAAAAACTTTTGCTGGCCCAGCCAGATTTTTTTTAAATCCCTATTCTCTCTCCCCACAAGATTCTGGGGGAATGGGTTTTTTGACACCCCACTTCTCCCATTTTAGGCTCCAATCAGATCTGACTAAAGGATCATGGCCATACTTAGCATCTTTCAAATTCCTTGGTGATCTGGAAGTGTCTTAGAAGCCCTTAGAAGAAATAGGAAATGAAAAAATTTTGGAAAGAATTTGGGAAAGAATTTTGCAACTATCCTCTTAAGACCTGTTAAACTGTATGATAGGGTAAGCAAACTGGGAGGCAGCTACTATAAGCTCTGATTCTGCAAATACTTATTCATGCATTTAACTTTAAGCATATGAACAGCACCATTTACTTCATCTGAATTGCCCACACACTTAAAATCAAGCACATACAAAAGTGATTGCAGGATTGGGCTATAATCTCTCAGTAGTCACTAGGAGAGTCTTGATGCGAAACCAGTCTGATTTAGAGGTGTACTGACATGCTTTTAAAATAAATATAAAATATTTTCAGGCTCTGATTCTGCAAATGTTTACACACAGACATCTCTACCTCGATATAACGCTACCCGATATAACACGAATTCGGATATAACATGGTAAAGCAATGATCCGGGGGGGCGGGGCTGCACACTCCGGCGGATCAAAGCAAGTTCGATATAACGCGGTTTCACCTATAACGCGGTAAGATTTTTTGGCTCCCGAGGACAGTGTTCTATCGAGGTAAAGGTGTACTTAACTTTGAGTAGTCCCATTGATTTCACAATACTAAAGTTAAGCACATGCATAAGTGTTTTCAGGATAGGATCCCAAGATTGTAACTCATTAACTTTAGCTTTAAAGTCTTACAAATCAATGCGTTTAAAAAAATATCTGAGAACTGTTTACTCTTTGACTTACCTACCAAGCAGGGCCGGCTCCAGGCACCAGGCAACCAAGCACATGCTTGGGGAGGCTCCTGGTAAGGGGCAGCCAATCTTGGGGTGGCGGGGGGCAGCGCGGAATGGCATTCTGCGGGGGGGGCGGCGCGGGGCGCAGCTCTCGGGGGGGGGTCCGGCGGCACGAGGCACGGCGCTTGGGGGGGCGGGTCCGGCGGCGCGGCGCTCGGTGGGGGCGGTGGAGCAGCGCTTGGCGGGGGGGGGGCTCGGCGGGGCAGCAAAAAAGTTAGAGCTGGCCCTGCTACCAAGACCTAAAATCAGGGTTACTTATTTTTCCTGACAGAATGGATGGCACCCAGAACACCAAAAGCAGTACAAAGAATGTGGTTCCTGTTTTAGGCAATTGCAGGGTCACCAAGTTGTCAGAGACACACAGTGCCCTGAATTCAGGACTTGACAGGTAAAAACTCTTCCTTTTATTTTTAAAATACACTGGACACAGCATATCCGCTAGCAGGTTCCAACAGCAAAGAGCCAGACCCTTTGTTCACATCCAGCCTGAAAATGCTACTGCATCATGGACAAGGTACAACATCCAGGTTCACCCCAGCCAAACACTCCCCCAGCTGCAAACCTCTTGCTTCCCACACAGACACAACACTTCCCACATCACACACACAACTTGGGCACAACCTTGAATATTTGCTAATGCTGCTGAGGTTGTATTGAAAGTTTTACATTATACTGTGGGGAAGATTAATGTACGTGGGTTTGGAGAGGGAAACACACACATCTATATACCCAGTTATTGATATTTCATTTGCAAAGTGTGAAGCTGAGTGCAGGTTAAGTCGAACAAGTGGAACTTTATTAAACCCAATGTGCTGCTCTGTCCATGGAGATGAATTGCTTTCAGCCTGTCTGCTTTCCCTAGTGTCTCTTCAATAACAATAACACTAGGGAACATGGGCCTTCTGATTCCAGTTCCACTGATCATGATACAACTGAGACCCTACTACATGGCCTTGCCCACGCAACCTATGGTCCCGTTTTTAAGGTGGAAAATCTAGTTACTCTATATCCCAGCCGCATTTCCTAGTACCATTGCTGCTCATTCACGGCTCTGAAGATGCTGTTGGGCATCTTAGGGGAAATAGGCTCCAAAAATGCAGAATGGGGGAGTAGGCCATTTGGCCAATACTTGAAAAAGCATGGATGGGGAAGGAAGGATGCTGATGGGTTCAGATCTTCAAAAGTATTTAGGTTCCTAACTCCTACTGATTTTGAGAATCTGGCCCTTGCTCCCAAATTGGTAGTTGCGGAGGGGGGATGTTGTAGAACACTGGGTTCCTTAAAAACAACAGAAAGAAAGAATGGGGACTATTGTGGAAGGCTTATCTTGGTTTATACCAAACCTGGGTGCAATGTCAGTCTTGCGTTTGTTCAACATTTGAAAAAGATCCCTCTGGTGTAAATATTGAGTTCAAATATTAACATTGTAAAGTTAGTCTCTTCTTACTATCAATCGTATAAAAGTAAACAGGGGGCAGTTTTATTTGTCTCAAGTCTGAACAGGTCCTGTAGCAGTCTGTGGTTCACAGTGGTTTGCATTTTTTAATCTAGTGTAGCACTATTTTTACTGAAGAATGCCTGGTGAAGATTTATAAGAATATTTATGGCACCAGCACATACAGTGAGATGTTCTATATAAGTATATAATGTGAGAAAAGCTCCCATAAAAAGACTAAGGGTAGAATTCAGAAACTGCAAGGAAATATTGGATTTATAAATCAAATAAACAAACTGAGCTGAATTTTTCTTGTACTACTACAGTACAGTAAATCAGAATCACCATACACTGCAAGCGTCCCCATAAGGCACTACATTCTGAAAGTGCTATCTTTAATTGATAAGGACAAGATATGTAGTTTTTTATATTGCTTGCCGGTGAGAAGTCAATAGACATGGAACAGTAATGGCATCACTTTCAGAGGAAGCAGAGTGTCCTGCAAGCTGATTACTGAAGATTATTGGGAAGGAACTCCAGGCAGCATACCATAAGCAGGAGTCACTTCACCAACTGAAAGCTGCAGGTTACTTACTATTGTACAATGTAGGTCATATGCCCAGAGCTGAGAGATTCCTGAGCTGAGCATGGCCAGTAGAATGTAGAGTAAAATGAGGTACAGCCATGAAGTATAGCTGGGCTGAGCATGCCCAGTAGTAAAAAATTACATAAAATGAGGTACGACCATGAAGTAAATGGCCTGGGGCATGAGCAGTAAGGTCAGATGGGGTAATCATTTCTCTGAGGCAAAAACACCACAAGTGAGCATGTGCAGAATGAGATATTGTCAGACAATGAGCATGTGCAGTACAAAAAGTAAAAGGGAGACAGAAAGGTCAAACAAGCCTCAGCCTGAACTGGCTTGGGCCAGCTCAGTGCTGCTTTAACTGGTTATCAAAAATGAGGTAATGTTTGCTAGTGAGCATGCTCTGTTTGAAAATAGGTGAAAGGTTAGCTAAGCAGGTCAAGCAAGCATGCTCAGTAGAAGCTAATGACCAATGAAACCATATATAAGGCAGTTGATTGAGAGATAGGAAGACTGCCCGAGAGGATAGAAGAAGAGTACAGCTGTTGAAGAGACCTGACCAAGCAGCAACAAACAGCAGACAATGCAGCGGAATAAATTAATAGTGTAAGGCTGCTAGTTTCTAACTATAATATAGTATAGTGTAATACTAGTATGTGTATGCTTGAGAGGTATCCCCACTCAGCAACCTCTTGTCCCTATGTGTCCCTGCATCCCCTGACCCCATGTGTCTCTGTGTCCCCACTCAGCCATCCCCCTGTCCCTATGTGTCCCTGTACCCCGCACTCAGCCACCCTCTGACAGGCACTGTAAAGAAGGAAGGCTCTTTCTCTTCCCTAGCTGGCCAGGAGCTGCTGCTGTGTTCTATCACCACAGTGCCCTCTGGTGGGCAAAAGGCAGAACTGCAGCAACATTTTGGCAGAAGCTTTTTTCGGCGCAAAAAAATAAATATGCACAACTCATTAATTATGCATGCATGCAGTAGCGCAGAATTCCCCCAGGAGTAACTCTTTACAGTCTTGGGCCATAACATCCTGCTTCTCCTGCTTGTTTGTGGAGGTGTATTGACCAGCTCTCAATGTTATTCAATGGAATGCACCTGCACAGCAGATGGGATTTTAAGGTTTCTGCACTGTTTATAGGGTGTTTTGAATGTTATGTAGTTTGGCAATTTTTTTCTTACCTCAGCAACAGCAAAAACAATTTAAATTAACAAACTGATTCACAAATGGAAAGGCTGATACCCAAGCAAAAGTGATGCCCCAGGCTCCCAGAAGGGGAGAAATCAAGTCCTAGGTTGCTTCCTCTTTCTACTCCTTTTGCTGGATGGGATCAGGCATCTGATTGTTTCTTCCCCCTGCAGTCCCACAAGGGTCAACTTGTGAATTTCAGAGCTTGCATGGGATGTGGAGCATCCAGGGGCAGGGCCCCAAACAGCTGCTTGTTTTGCTCATGCTGAATGCTGGTTCTGTGAAAAGAGGGGAAGACAAAGGAACAGTCACCCTTGCTGTTATCTATTCACAAGCCAAAGAGACAGTAAATAGGCTGTTTTGGGGGTGGCAATGAAATACTGCCCACACCCATAGTATACTGGGGAAAGAAAATACTCTGAGAATATGGCAGCCTGTTCATAGCATCACTACTGATTCTGAAGGTTTCATACACACAGCTACAGAGCCATAGAATCCAGACAGCCCATGAACATGCAGTAGAAGCCACTTGAGAATGCATGTGCTAGCTTCTTGGCAGTAAGCGTACACAGGACTAATGGCCAGATGCTTGCTGCTGAGGCTGATTAATCCTGGTAACACCTTGCTTTTACCCAGTACTTCAAGAGTATATCCTTGAAGAGCTTCAATAATCTACTTCCTTTTCTGGATGTTAAACTCAGATTCTTGCTGTGCTAGGGGCCTAATTCTTCCTAATCCTCCAAAGAAAAAGAAAAGCAATCATAACTTTGGCTACTCCTTTCTTTCAATATCAGAAAAATATAATGTGATTGCTCTGTGGAATCTCAACTCCATGGTCTGAATTCTCAAAATACTCATTTGCCACATCAGATGGCATTACTGTTTCTAGTTTTCATTTGTAAGGGTTAATGACCTGAATCAAAATCCCTCCCCGCTCCCCCCCCCTTTTTTGTTTTTAGATTCATGGAAAGAACCATATCTTCCCACTTACATTATGCCATACAAAGCCATCTGTTTGCTCAAATACATCCCAGGCTTGTTACTTGTGGATGACTCTTAGCAAGAACTAAAGGAAACAGAACAGAGAAAATTGAATAAAATGTGGATGCAGAATGTTCTTGGATTTGTGAGCTTTGAAACCTACAGTACTCTCAGCCAGTTTAAGACCCTAAATCTGATAGCATATTTTCAGGTTAAAGAAATACTGGACTTTTTCAAATCTGCTGCTATTGCTAGACAGGCAGTAAAATATGAAGTATTGTTGTTAGCGCCTTCCCATACACTTCTTGGGTTCCAAATAAATGAACTAGGTCATGAATTCAGATAAGACAAGTGTTAATTTCTGAGGCCTGGTCTACACTACGGGTTTAGGTCGACTTTAGCAGCGTTAAACCGAATTAAGCCTGGACACGTCCACACAACGAGGCCCCTTCTTTCGACTTAAAGGGCCCTTTAAACCGGTTTCTTTACACCACCTCCGAC